ATAGTGACACAAGTATCGTGATAATACCGTATCGTATCGTAAAGAAAAATATGAATTTGTTGCGCTACTTATAAAGTAAAACAGATTCGCTATTAAAAAGAACACAATTTAGAATGTTAGTAAACAATCGTCGACAAACACGACGGTAACTCCGTCTAAACTAGCTGTTTAGTTCAGGTTCTGTTCATATAATACGCATGTCATTTCAGATTTTGTTCCAAATATTAATAAAACATGCATCTTACTAAAAGGTATTGTGGATTTACTATGGTACAGTGATGCTATCTGATGGTCATACAGTGTAATGATTACAATATTCATGCAGTTAAAATAATACGGTGATTTGAAGACATGGCTTTATTATAAAGTATGGTATGAAACTAATACTTTTTGTATACTTTATATATTTTGTACATTATTTGTATTTTGATTTTACAATGCAAATCATTTGGAGAAGCTAATGGAGCTTTATAAAAATAAAGTTTTAGTATGAAAAAATGTAATTTTTTTTTGTTTTTTAGTTTGGTTAGTGACAGAATTTTTGTGGACATAAGTACAATTAAATATTTTCTTATTTTAAAAAATTAGATTAATTAAAACTCTAAAACTCTCTAGAAATTAATGTAATATAGATAATCTTGACTTTAACATTTTTTATTCATTATTTTGAACTCAGTGCACAAAATATGTGTGTAGTATGGATAAAATATGATATTTGATATCGATATGATATAGAAATGTAGAAATCATATATAATATGATATTATCATTGATGCAAATGAAATGTACCCTAAATTATGAAATGAGCCATGTAGCATGTTTATATCATTTGATTTTAATTCTGAATATTCATGCATTTAAAAGGTACTTGAAAGAGTTGCATGTTTTTTTTACACTATACATTGTATTACAAAAAAGAAAAATGGTGTAACATTAATACATTTTGTTACCACTATATACATTGTGCATATATTGCTTTTACTTTGCATAGTTACCTTTAACAGCGCAACGATTGTTAGTGTAGAAATGAATCCTCAACCTCTGATTGTCTTCATCTTTCATCTGTTTTCTCTTCTCTGTTCTGCAGCAACTGACCAATCACATCCGTGACACGCTCCCTGCGCTGCGCGCTAAACTGCAGAGCCAGCTGCTGTCCATCGAGAAGGAAGTGGAGGAATACAAGAACTTCCGACCAGACGATCCGTCCCGGAAGACCAAAGCCCTGCTGCAGTCAGTCAATCACATTCACCGTCTCTGCATGAACAAATGAAGCTCGTATCCTCAGAACTGCAGATGTAGTGTATGCATTGCTTGGTTTCAGGATGGTGCAGCAGTTCTCTGTGGATTTCGAGAAGCGTATCGAGGGCTCTGGAGATCAGATAGACACGTACGAGCTGTCTGGAGGAGCCAGAATCAATCGCATCTTCCACGAGCGCTTCCCCTTCGAGCTGGTGAAGGTGCGAGAGCACATGTGCACTTCTCATAGTGTTTTTCCACTCACCATTCGCATTAATCACATCATAGGACATGATAAATGCACATACACATTAAGAATTATGTGTCTGAGGCTTTGCATTTACACCAGCCTGCCTGAGTTCCGATGTACAGTCTTTACAGCTGCATTTATTTGCTCAAAAATACAGTAAAAATTGTGAAATATTATTAGAATGTAAAACAGCTGTTTTCTAAGTGAATCTCTGTTAAACTGTAATGTATTTCTGTGATGCGCAGCTGTATTTTCAGCATCATTACTCCAGTCTTCAGTGTTATATATATATATATATATATATATATATATATTATACACACACACACATATACACACACACAAACAAAGATAAACAAGTAGATAGAATAGAAAAAATAGAAAACTAGTGTTTGTTTGTTCTTTGTTGTTGTTTTTTTTTTTTTAAATAAAAAAAGATAAATATAGATAAAGTAGAATAGAAAGTGCTAGAGTTAGAGGGTCAAATAAAGGTGGAACAGATGTGTTTTAGTCGTTTCTTGAAGATGGTTAAGGACTCGGCTGCTGGGATTGATTTGGGGAGGTTAT